ATGGGAATATAAATGCCATAAAAACAGGAATTTTGTTTTGTTCACTGTTGTATCCATCCCTGTTGCCCAGCAAGCACATAGTAGGCACTCAGTGTTTTCGGAAGGTATCATGAAGGTTAGAAATTGTGCCAGATATCCTGTGGGATATAAATACACATTAGAAATGGATTTAGCCCTGTGTACGCAGAGAGCTAAAGCACAAGATGGGTTCAGACGGTCTGAGAACTTCAGCAAATAGGCTGTGGGTATTTTAGTGGCATATTACTTCTAGCTAGCTTCGTGGGAAATGACATTTAAGCTGCGTCTTCTTTCAGACTGGGGAACCAGATAAGCAGAGGCTCAGAGGTGGGAAAGTGAGTAAGGGCGGTATGTATAAGAAAAGATGACATATTCAGTTTGGCTAGAATATATTCCTGACAAAGTAAGAAGTCAGGTGGAAAGGTAGGTTAGATCCAGGGCAGTGGAAAGTCTTCAGATCAAAGCTGAGTTTGGGTTTTGTCCCGCTGGCACTGTGGAAATTGTTATTTTCCCTCCTGAAAGGGCAGTTAGTCGGTTATGTGTCTGCCTCCAGCTCAGGTCATGATCCTGGCTCCCTGCTCAGTGGGGAGTCTGCTTCCCCTCTACACCTGACCACATTTGTGCTCGTGTGTGCCTGTGCGCGCGCGCACGCTCTCTCTCTCTCGTATAAATAAATAAACAAATAATTTTTTTTTAAAGATTTTTTTTTTTTTTAAAGATTTTATTTATTTGACAGAGAGAAATCACAAGTAGGCAGAGAGGCAGGCAGAGAGAGAGGAGGAAGCAGGCTCCCCGCGGAGCAGAGAGCCCGATGCGGGGCTCGATCCCAGGACCCTGAGATCATGACCTGAGCCGAAGGCAGAGGCTTTAACCCACTGAGCCACCCAGGTGCCCCTTTTTTTAAAGATTTTATTTATTTATTTGACAGAGAGAGATCACAAGCAGGCAGAGAGGCAGGCAGAGAGAGAGGAGGAAGCAGGCTCCCTGCCGAGCAGAGAGCCCGATGCGGGACTCGATCCCAGGACCCTGAGATCATGACCTGAGCCGAAGGCAGCGGCTTAACCCACTGAGCCACCCAGGCGCCCCATAAACAAATAATTTTTAAAAAGGGCAATTATATGGCATGATTGGACCTGTAGAGGAGGAGATTGAAGACCCAAGTCTGTTTTTATTATTATTAGATATTTTATTTTAATCCAGTATGTTAGCAAAGTGTTAAATTAATCTCAGATGTACAGCGCAGTGATTCAGAGTTCTGTACCTGATTTGGCGCTCACCACCATAAGTGCACTCTGAATCCCTTCACCTAGTCCACCCTCCCCCCACCCAGCGCCCCTCTGGCAACCACCAGTTTGTTCTCTAGAGTTAAGAGTCTGTTTCTTGTTTTGTAGGTCTCTTTCTTTGTTTTCCTTTGCTCATTTGTTTCTTAAATTCCACATATGAGTGAAATCAGAGGGTATTTGTTTTTCTCTGACTGACTGACTTCACTTGGTATTATCCTCTCTAGTTCCATCCATGTTGCAAATGGCAAAATCTCACTTTTTATGGCTGAGTAACATTTCGTGGTCATACATGTATACACCACATCTTCTTTATCCATTCATCTGGACAGTTGAGCTGCTTCCTTGGTTTAGCTATTGTAAATAATGCTGCGGTAACCATAGAGGTGGGTGTGTGTTTATAGTTTTTGGGTTAAGAACAGGTAGTGTGATTACTGGATTGTAGGTCAGTTCTGTTTTTAACTTTCTGAGGAGCCTCCGTACTGTTTTCCACAGTGACTGTTCCAGTTCAATTCTAGTCAACACCCTCACCAACACCTGTTGTTTGTTGTGTTGTTGATTTTAACCATTCTGTCAGGTGAGAGTGGATGTCTCGTGATGAGTGATGTTGAGCATCTTTTTGTGTGTGTGTTGAAAGACTGAAGTTTGAATTGTAGGGTAGGTGGGGGAAGGTAGCAAGGAACTTATATTAGAATAATAATATAATTTCGGGTGCCTGGGTGGCTCAGTGGGTTAAAGGCTCTGCCTTCGGCTCAGGTCATGATCCCAGGGTCCTGGGATCGAGCCCCACATCGGGCTCTCTGCTTGGCGGGGAGCCTGCTTCCCCTCTCTCTCTGTCTGCCTCTCTGCATACTTATGATCTCTCTCTCTCTGCGTCAGTTAAATAAATAAATAAATAATCTTAAAAAAATTTTTTTTAAAGTGGGAAGACAACAGTGGTCAGCAAATTGACAAATAAATCCGATACGGAGAATAAGGGAAATGGAAGAAACCAAGATGACTTTAAGGTTTTGAATTTGTGAGAAGTAAGATGGTGTTGTCATTAAAGAGAACATGAAGTAAGAACAGATTTGAGAAGGAAGATTAATTTAATTTTGAACATGTTGCTTTGAGGTGCTAGCATTTGAGTGGAGGAATGTGGTTGGCAGTTGGAGAGCTACCAAGGCTTGAGATTTGGGAATTACTTGCAGGGTAGTTTCTGAAGCTTGAGAATGTGAAGGAAGAGTCAGGAGAGCACATGGAAAAAGAAAGAAAAGTGGCGGAGAACATATTCTTGGGAAATAACTGTTAAGAGAACAGGAGGAGAACCAAGGGAGGACAACATTATAGGAGTCCAGAAAAAGGTCTGTGGTAACCTTGAGAGTGTGATATATATCTTTTTAGTCATATCACACATTGTTCTGTACTGTTTAGCATAGTTCTTTCTTTTTTAAAAATATTTAAGTGATCTCTACCTCCACTGAGGGGCTCAAAATCATGACCCTGAGATCAAGAGTCACAGGGTCTACTTACTGAACTAGCCAGGTGCCCCATTCTGTAATATATTCTTGGTCTTTCTGCTTTTTGTTTCTTTTTTGATAAAATAGCAAAAGTTCTAACAAGCCATAATTGAAGGTTCTCAAAGTGTGAGGAGGACAACGGTTAAAGGAGCTTAGGGATTGGATAAGTGCTTGTCTTCGTATCTCACACTTGATCTACATAGCATAGGAATTATTTTAGACTGTCTTCAAAGAATATATTATCACTTTTGTAGTGCTTTCAGAAAACAAATCGGAAACTAGAAAGAATAACTTGCTAAAGTGCAAGAAGACAGATCTTAGAACTGAAGCTGATTTGTTGAAAGCTGACTGGAAAGATTTCAGTAGCATTTTGTACAAGAATCAGGGCTAGGAAGACTTGGTGTCTTTGGTGCAGCATTTTATATAGCAAAAAAGAGAACAATCTCTCCGTGAAAGAGAATTTTTAGGTACTCAAATTTGATCATGAATTGACTTGAAATTTTGTAATCCACTTAAGAGAAGAATAGACTTTTGAATATAAAAATACTAATGATTGGGACAAGGTGAAAATAAGTACAGATGGTAGCTGGTTTGGCGTATAACAGTATCTAAAGCATCTGTCTGTCTTACTCTGTGTGGCAGCACATTAAAGATAAGATAATCTGATTAAAGGACATAGCTCAAAGTAGAGGCATCATCCGGTGTGTTAAATTGGTACTATGTGGCATCTTTTTTTTATTGAATTACAGTTGACACAGAATGTTACATTAATTTCAAGTGTACAACATAGTGATTCGATAATTCTCCATTATTCTCTGTGGCATCTTTATGAGGTTATTAGAGTAAAGCTCACTAATGGGTAAAGCATGCAGTAGCATATGCACGCAGGTAGAAATTGTCACATGGTTTGGATGCTAACATTCCAGTTTCGGTATAGGAAGAACTGTTTTGGTAAAACTTAACCTCTTTAAGGTCTGATTTAAGTGAAAATACTTGTTATGTCTGGATATTCAAATTGAAAATTGTAATTTATTAATTTATTTTTAAATTTGGATGAGTGATATGATTAGCTTTAAAATCCAGAATAATGGGGATCCTGGGTGGCTCAGCTAATTAAGTGTCTGCCTTCGGCTCAGGTCATGATCCCCAGGGTCCTTGATTGAGCCCCACATTGGGCTTCCCTGTTCCGTGAGGCGTCTCTTCCTCCCCTTTCTCTGCCCCTCTCCCCACTCATGCGTGCATGCTTGCGCTCTCTCTCTCTCTTTCCCTGTCTCTAGCTCAAATAAATAAAATCTTTAAAAAAAAATCCAGAATAGGGGCGCCTGGGTGGCTCAGTGGGTTAAAGCCTCTGCCTTCGGCTCAGGTCATGATCCCAGGGTTCTGGGATCGAGCCCCACATGTGGGGCTCTCTGCTCAGCCGGGAGCCGGCTTCCACCCCCCCACCCCCACCCCGGCCTACTTGTGATCTCTGTCTGTCAAATAAATAAATAAATAAATTTTTTAAAAAAATCCAGAGTAGCTTATGCAAAGCAGAAATAGTATATTTTGCTTATTTAATATTTCCTTTCTTTTGTTTGTGAATGATTTTTTTTTTTAAAGATTTTATTTATTTATTTGGCAGACAGAGATCACAGGTAGGCAGAGCAGCAGGCAGAGAGGAGGACGCCGACTCCCTGCTTAGCAGAGAGCCCAGATGCAGGGATGCGGGGCTCCTGGCTCGATCCCAGGACTCTGGGATCATGACCTGAGCTGAAAGCAGAGGCTTTAACCCACTGAGCTACCCAGGCGCCCCTGTGAATGATTGAAAGCCTTAAAATATATTATTGTTAAATTTTCGATTTACTATAGGACATCTTTTTGAATGCAGGGAGTAGGAGTGGACCTAGTGAATGCAACAGTCTTCCCTGTGTTAAATATCTGCATCTTTCATATGATGTTAAGACAAAAAGAGTTTCTGAAGCCCTTCTTTGAACAAAGATAAAAACGAGAGTATTTAATAGTGTCAACAGCACATTCCTTCCTGTCTTCTTTCCTAGTTTTATGTATCTCTGAATAATACTTGCCAGAAAGTATATTTGAAGAGGTTCTTTGTAAATGTGTGTTCATGTTCATATTAATTACATACCTGATATGGTGAATTCAGCGCATTTAAAATAGAAGTAATTTTATGTGTTTTAATTATTGCACTTCTGATCATTTGTAGGCGAAACCTAACCAAACTATCCCTGATCTTCAGCCACATGCTGGCAGAACTAAAAGGAATCTTTCCGAGTGGACTCTTTCAAGGAGACACATTTCGGATTACGAAAGCAGATGCTGCTGAATTTTGGAGGAAAGCTTTTGGGGAAAAGTAAGTCTCAAAATAATGAATTTGTTTTGTTTATGTGTTTGTTTCTTAAGTAGGCTCCCAGCATGGAGCCCATTGTGGGTCTGGAATTGTGCTGAGACCCAGAAGTTAGACGCTTAACCACTGAGCTACCCAGGTGCCCCTCAAAATAATGAATTTGAACTGTGAAGAGCTAAAGCTTATGTTGTGGCCTTCTGCTTAATTTTTTTTTTTTGATGTTTTAACTTTTTTTTTTTTTTTTTTAAAGTAAACTGCAGCCTCAGCGCGAGGCTCGAAATCGCAACCCCAGCATCAAGAGTTGCATGGTCTACCAAGTGAGCCTGCTGGGTGCCCGTTTATTTTTTTAATTAATGAAATAATTATATCATGGGAAAGCATAAAGAAAAATAATGAATGCGTATGTACAGTAGGCCCCCCCTTATTGGCAGTTTTACTTTTCGTGGTTTCAGATACCTGACGTCAGCTGTGGTCTAGAAGCTGATAGTCTTCCTGGTGTATTAGCACAACGTCAATAGTAGCCTAACACTGTCTCAGTGCTTGCGTCCTTCCCCTCGCTCCATCTCCTCAATGTAGGCATCTTATCTCATCCTGACTAGAAGGGTGTCTACAGCACTGAGATGCTGTGAGAGAAAACCCACATTCACGTAACTTTCATTACAGTATATTGGCTATAATCGTTCTATTTTGTTATTGTTGTTGTCTTACTGTGCCTAAATTATAAATTAAACTTCATCACAGGTGCGTGTATAGGAAAAACCCCAGTATATGTAGGGTTTGGTACTATCTGCCTTTGCAGCCATCCACTGAGGATTTTGCAAAGTATCCCTTGCAGATAAGGGGGGGCATATTGTACCTACCTCCCCAAGTTTTGGAGGTTCTTTTTTTTTTTTCCTGTTTTTTTTTTTAAAGAAATCTTTGTAGATTCAACTGATACCCAGGCTCTTATATTGAATATTTGTCTGTCTCTCTCCCCATCCATTCCGCTGTTAATAGATGTTTATGTTTCACATTCTTTGTGCTCACAAACTGTGCCACAGTGAACAGAATTATTTTTGTCTTCATATGCAAGAGCTTCTAATCACAGTTACATGTCTAGGAGTGAAATAGCTGAATCAGGGAGTTTCACATCCTCTGCTTTGCCAGATATTGCCTAATTGCTTTCCCCCAAAGTGGTTATACCAGTTTATATCCCTGTAAGTAGTCTACACAAATTCCATAGCTCTATAGTTGGGCTAACACGGGTGGTGTGACTTGGGTATCATATTTTGCTTTCTATTCCTAATGACAAAGGAGATTGAGCATCTTTTCACAGTTATGACCAGTTGGGATTCTTACTCTGACTTGCCTGTTCCTGTTCCTAACTTGTCCATTTCTCTACTGAGTAACTTGTCTTTTTCCTATTGAAAGACACTGATTGTTAGTTACCTTACGTTACAGATATCTTCTCCTAGTCTGTGGCTAGTTTTCTACTTTGTCATATTGTCTTTTATTGTATAGAAGTTTTAAATTATATAGACAGATTTATGTGTTACACTTATGCTTTTAAGTATTAATATAAATGTTCTTGTATAGCCTATGAAATTTTGGATCGAGGAACTGAAAAAAAATAGCAATACAGCTTTTTAGTTGTATATACAGATCCTAATATAAATTTCCCTTTAGATGCCTTCTTTTTAAAAATATGCTTAAATGTAAAATATAGAATAATAGGTGATTTAAAAACTTTGTTAAAGAGGATGGGAATAAATTTAACTTTGTTCCTTTTAACTTAATAACTCCATTAGAAGAGTTCAAAATGCCACTTTATCTCTTAATTTCTAGGCAGTGAGTACATAAACTTTTCAGAGTCAGTGATCTTGTGTTTACATAAAGATCTTGAGAAATAGAAATCCCATAGTATCTTGTGCTAGCCTTATCTGGGGTTTAATCACTCTTACATTGATAATTTATTCCTTCTCCCTATCAGAACTATGTTCTTCCTGTGTCTTAAGCCTATTTCCTCCTAACTAGGCCTTGAGATTATGAGTTCCTCAAAGAACTCAGGATGTTTTATATGCTTTTATTTATTTTTTTTTTAAAGATTTTATTTATTTATTTATTTGAGAGAGAGAGACAGTGAGAGAGAGCATGAGCGAGGAGAAGGTCAGAGGGAGAAGCAGACTCCCCATGGAGCTGGGAGCCCGACGCGGGACTCGATCCCGGGACCCCGGGATCATGACCCGAGCCGAAGGCAGCCGTCCAACCAACTGAGCCACCCAGGCGTCCCTGTTTTATATGCTTTTAAAAAGTTAGTTTAAATGTAAGCTTTTAAGTTAGTGAAGGCCTGGCCTCAGATGACATTTATATAGAAAGAGTAATCTCTCTCTCTCCATGTTTCTCTAAAGAGAACAGCTGTGTGAAGAAAGATGAGAAAGGGAATTAGTTTATGACATATTGCTTAAGAAGAGTGGGAAAAGATTTCTCTATTACTAATTTCCTTATTAGAAAGTTAAGAAATATATTATTTATTCCCTTTCTTTTCTCAATCCAAAATATAACTTAACTTCTTTAAGAGAATTGAAATTGATATTGTGATCTTAATGTGGCTTTCTTGGTAATTATGGCAGTGCACAGCATTGTCTGTTACCTCACTCTGCCTTCCCTTTCACCCCTGCTCCCCCATCTAGGACAATAGTCCCTTGGAAGAGTTTCCGACAGGCCCTTCACGAAGTGCATCCCATCAGCTCCGGGCTCGAGGCCATGGCTCTGAAATCCACTATTGATCTGACCTGCAATGATTATATTTCAGTTTTTGAATTTGACATCTTTACACGACTCTTTCAGGTAGGATACTAAAATGTTGGCTAAACTAGTTGCTTCTTTCCTAAAGGGAGAGCTCTTTTAAAAAATAACATTTGGAAGTTTACATATTGTACAAAATTATTTTTTTTAGGGTTTATTTATTTATTCGACAGACAGAGATTACAAGTAGGCAGAGAGAGAGGAGGAAGCAGGCTCCCCACTGAGCGGAGAGCCCAATGCGGGGCTCGATCCCAGGACCTTGGGACCATGACTCGAGCCCAAGGCAGAGGCTTTAACCCACTGAGCCACCCAGGCACCCCTGTACAAAAGTATTTTTAGTCAGTGTAGAAATTATAAGCAAAAAAACCTCACTACTCAGTTTTTATCTATTTATTATTAAACACAATAACTATATAATATGCTTTTTTTCTCCTCACATTTATAATCTCTCTTTTAAATATTCTTTGCATCGTTTAAATCATTGTAGAATGCCCAGAAAATGGGTGTAATCTGATCTATTTAATCAGTTTCCTGTTGTTGGACATTTATGTACATTTCCAGCTTTTTCTCCTATTGTATTGAAATTCTTGACTGTTATTATTAACATGCATTGATGCTTCAGAAAGAGCTCATTTCTTTCTCTCTGTAAAGATAGTATGTGTCTGCCAACTGGTATCAGCCTTTATTTGCAACTTCTTAGTTGTACACGTGGGCTCTGCTGTTGGTTAGAACTTCTGTAAAATGTCTTGAATTTCATTTTATAATGAAATTTCTTTCTACAAGCATATATTTGTTTCTTCTTAGCTTTTCTGAGTTCTTACATCTCAAACATATTTCTCTCAAAGTAACCATATAATTGAAAATTTGTGACAATGAATGGAGAATTGAGGTGGTTTTCTTTCTGTTCTTCCTTGCTCTGAGGACAGTGGGATGTCCTGAGCTAAGTGGTCTGATCGAGCTCTTGTTCCCTTAGCCCTGGTCCTCTTTGCTCAGGAACTGGAACAGTCTTGCCGTAACTCATCCTGGTTACATGGCTTTCCTGACATACGATGAAGTAAAAGCTCGGCTCCAGAAGTTCATTCACAAACCGGGCAGGTCAGTGCTGGGAAGCAAAGGTGTTTATTCTCCTGAATTCTATGCTTTTGTGACCTCTGCCAGGATAGAGGAAATGTGATCTTGGATTAGTTTCCCAGTGGCTCCGTTGCTGCACTGGGATTGATGTCTGTTTACCAGAAGAATTGACTTATTCAGATCTTAGGATTTGATAAATGCTTTCAAGCCACTTAAGAATTGAACTTATGTATTTTTTGCTTTTGGTCTGGAGTCACTGTAGAATCTATTATTGATGATCCGTTTGATTTTGTCTCTGTCTTGCCTTCTACCCTAACAAAAGCATATAAAATGTTCTGTTCATCTCTGTTCTCAGTTACATTTTCCGGCTGAGTTGCACTCGTCTGGGTCAGTGGGCTATTGGGTATGTCACTGCTGATGGGAACATTCTGCAGACGATCCCTCACAATAAACCTCTCTTCCAAGCCCTGATTGACGGCTTCAGGGAAGGCTTGTGAGTATCTGCTGTTTGCCCCTCGCTGGAATACAGGAATTTAGGGGTTATAAAACTTAATCATCAGTGACTTGATTCCAGGTGTCTTCAGGACTGAACATTCAAGAAACACATTAACAGGTTGTATTATTTTAACCTTCAGGTTCTGTAGGACTTTTGTTGTTATTTAAAAGGATTCTTTGAGTGAAATGATTTTTCTCTAGTGCTTTAGTTATTACCATGTGTAAACTGTATCTTTTTCCTTTTCCAGATGTTAACTTATTTCCAAATCTATATTTGAAAATATGCCAATTATCAGGAAATGTTACCAGTTATTTAACTAGCCCACATTAGAGTGCTTAGATGTTTTTAATAAGAACAGGCACAGTGGTCTTCATATGCTCTAAGCATTTTGGTTTGGCAGTATTTCTTCAGGCCTTGGGCTTTTATAATCTCTGCTAATATTGATAAGTAAGTTCTTACTTATTCCAGAATGCTATTCCTTTGGGAACGCAAACTGATTATCGCTTGGTAGGCACTAAAAATACTAGCAGTTGACCAGCTGTCAGAAAACTACTTGTGTTTTAAAGCAATGAGGAGAGTCCATTTTCTGCGCCAGCATTGGGGCTGAAGGGGGTGCTTCCCCACACATCAGAGCAGGCCGGCACTCCGGGCTTCCTGGTAGCTGGTCTCATGGGCTTCCTTTGCTTCTTGTTACATTTCTTTTGAATTGTTGTCTTTCCATGTTAAATACCTGGTAAACAAGGGCATTTTAGGCCTTTGGTCAAAAAACAGATGGTGCTTAAATTAAGAATGTGGGACACCGACGTAACTCAGTGGTTAAGTGTCCCAACTCTTGATCTCAGCTCAGGTCTTGATCTCAGGGTCGTGAGATCGAGCCTTGTGTCAGGCTACACGCTGGGTGTGGAGCCTACTTAAAATAAAATAAAAATAAATTAATAATTTGTATTTTATGTCTATCCATAGATTAAAATAGGGGTTGGGCCAACTATGGCCCATCAGCTAGCTGTTGCAGTATGGCCTGGAACTAAGATGGGTTTTCCTTTTTAAAGGGTTACTTTAAACAATAACAACCAAAGAATATAGGACACATACTTCTGTGGCTTGCAAAGTCTAAAATATTTATTGTGTGGCCCTTTACAGAAAAAGTTTGTCAGCCACTTAGTTTAAAGATAAAGCCTGTGGCCTTGTGGCCTAGAGAAGGAGTATCATTGTTCGGAGAATATCTTCTTGGAACTGTTCTGTGTTACTTATTTTTTGAAGTATTTATCTTTGGTAAATACAAAGATTTACCTTTGTACCTTATGCAAAGTAGCCTATTTATGTATTTGAGAGAGTGTGCATGAGCCGTGGGAGGGGCCGAGGGAGAAAGAGCATCTCAGGCAGACTCCTGTGCTGAGTGCAAAGCTGATGGTGCAGGGCTCAGTCTCCCCACGCTGAGGTCATGATGTGAGCTGGAATCAGGGGTTGGACGTTTAACTGACAGAGCCACCCAGATGCCCCCACAGTTGCCCTTTTAAAGATTTTTTTTTGGACAGAGATCACAGGTAGGCAGAGAGGCAGGCAGAGAGAGAGAGAGAGAGGGAGGAAGCAGGCTCCCCGCTGAGCAGAGATCCTGATGCGGGGCTCAATCCCAGTACCTGGGATCATGACCAACCCACTAAGCCACCCAGGCACCCCAACACAGTTGCCCTTTTAGATGAGAGAATGCCCAGTTACTATTTTGTCTGCATTAGCCAGCAGTTATAAATTGTCTTTAGTAAAACCCCAAGGCCGGTTACTCTTTTTACAGCTATCTGTTTCCAGATGGACGGAATCAGAATCCCGACCTGACAGGCTTATGTGAACCAACTCCCCAAGACCACATCAAAGTGACCCAGGTGAATTTTGTTTTACCTCCTCACTGTGTCTCTGGAGGCAAGCTTTTGTCCTCGACACAATTCATGGTAGAGCAGTACGGAGTGATTGGAACACTTAGGTTTTAAACCATCGACTAGCCTAGTGGATTTATGTGTGTGTAGTTTCTCTAGAGAATTGAAATAGGACCAAGACCGTGTGCTTTCTGTGTTGGTGAGAGAATAGTGACCACTGTTGGGGCACTTCCATAGAAGTCAAATTTGTGGGGGGAGTAGCAGTCTGGTTTTCCTGGTGTCAGTTGAAGGTTGAGGTCATTCATTCGTTCGACAGATACCGCAGTCGGCTGAGTAGTCTCTTCAATTTCTCTTTATTAAAGGAACAATATGAATTATACTGTGAGATGGGCTCCACTTTCCAGCTGTGTAAAATATGTGCTGAAAACGACAAGGATGTGAAAATTGAGCCCTGTGGACACCTCATGTGCACGTCCTGTCTCACGTCCTGGCAGGTATGGCTCTAGACCGTGTGCTCTGCTGTGTAATCCTCGGAGGAACTGGGAGTTTTGTATCCTCTGTGGAGAGAAAGGATGGTCTGGTTTGTGGGGGAGGTTTTAAGCTTCTGGTTTCTTTTTTCATCTTTAGGAAATGTATTTCTATATAGTCCATACTTACAGATGAGCCTTTGACCGTCTCCCGTTTGCTCTGCAGGAATCCGAAGGCCAGGGCTGTCCTTTCTGCCGATGTGAAATTAAAGGTACTGAGCCCATTGTGGTCGATCCGTTTGACCCTCGAGGAAGTGGCAGCCTACTGAGGCAAGGAGCCGAGGGAGCTCCCTCCCCAAATTATGAGGACGATGATGATGAACGAGCTGATGATTCTCTCTTTATGATGAAGGAACTGGCTGGTGCGAAGGTGAGACTTCAGGTTCAGAGACTGGCAGACTCCACTGTGAGTTGTGTTCTAAAGGAATAGAGAGCATTTGATGACATCCAGACCACAGGAAGCAATAGTAGCTGACTATTTACTGAGCATTTACTATGTGAGAGAGGCCATGCTGAGTATTTCCCTTTTTCTAACTCCTGTAATCCTGTCCTCATATATACTCAAATAACCCAAGAGTAGGTACTCTTATTTTCATTTAGCAGATGAAGAAACCAGGGCATGGCAAGGTTAAGGAACTGGCTGAAAATTACATAGCTGTGGCCAGACGTTCTGGCTTCAAGGTCCATGCTCTGTGTCCTAGAACTGGGCTTTCCCCAGCTTGTTGGAGAGAATGAGAGGGGATAAGATAGTGAGGCCCTCTTGCGCTTCTCTGAGTAGGGTCTGGTGTTCTGGTGTTCTTTCCTGCGGGTCCTGGCACTGGAAAGTTAGATTGCAGAGGGGAGGGGCACTGTTAGTAACCAAGGACATGGCGACCAAAGTGACTGGAGGGTGGCAGAGGAGGTACCAGGTAGAAGCTAAGCAAACTGGAAAGGCCCTAGTAAAGAGAGGAAACATACAGACTAAGAAAGATGGGATCAAATTTTGTAACATCGGTGGGTAGGGTAACACAGGGATCTGCTGACTAATTAGAAGGAAGGGAGTCCTTTGAAGATGGTAAGCAATACAGGGCAAACAGAAGATTCTAATGTGCTTTTGATTCTCTAGTTGAGGATTTTTATATAAATTTATATAAGGGCAGCCTTCTTTTATAATAGTACTTTACTGCCTGACACGTGGTAGATGGAAAGAATGGATTTGGGGAGGCCCCTAGGTGGCTCAGTTGGTTGAGAATCTGACTTGATTTCAGCTCAGGCCATGATCTTGGGGTCCTTGGCTCAAGCCCAGCTTTAGGCTCCATGCTCAGCGGGGAGTCTCTTTGGTATTCTCGCTCGCTCTCTCCCTTGGCCCTACCACCCCTGCCCCCAGGAAAAGGAATAGATTTGATCTCTTAAATGATTGGATCCATGTGTCTCCTCCTCTCTGTCCTCAGTGCCACTGCCTTATTTCAGGCCTCATCATCGTCTCTTTGCCCCGCTGCCAGCACCGGAGAGCTCAGCGCAAACCTGACTATCCCATTCCTTTGCCTCATACTCTGATGACTTTTCGTTACTTAATGAGTTAAGCAGTTCTCCTTTCCTCCAGCACTTTGCCCTTAAAATCCTTTTTGCTTTATGTTTTGTGGTTCAGCAAGGCCAAACCACTAAAATCTCTTTGTGCTTTTGTCTTGGTAGTTTCTTTTTTCTTTTTTTAAAGAATTTTAAAATTTCTTTTAGAGAGGGAGCTTGTGAGCAAGGGAAGGAGCGGAGGGGGAGGGACAAGCAGACTCCCTGATGAGTGGGGCTCAATCCCAGGACCCTGAGATGATGACCTGAGCCGAAGCTAAGGGCAACTGAACCACTCAGGTGCCCCTGTCTTAGTAGTTTCTTCGTAACTTAGTTGAGTTTTCATTTCCTAGGACGCCTTTCCAGACCCTTCCTGCTTCCCCCACCCCCAGTTCCCATGTGTTTACACACATCATTTCTAGGCCTACCCAGGTGTCTCTGAGACACTGAGTATGTCTGCCATAGAACTTACTACCTCATAATATCTTATTAAATGCATTTTCTGGTATATTATAAATTATAGAAGGCAAGAGCCATGTCTCATTTGTAATTTACTATTCAGAATTGAGCACATAGCAATTACGTTGAATGTTTGGAAATTGAAACAACTTTAGTATGGGAGTTAATAAATCTATGCTTTATCAATAGCAGGTAGTTGAGGAAGACTGGAATGAGCAGTACATTTTTGGTTTTTTGAAGTGGACAGATTTTTTAGTTTTGGCCCCTTATAACAGGTTCTTTGGGTCCATTTTAAGAGATTAGTTTGAGGGACCACCTGGGTGACTCAGTTGGTTAAGTGTCTGCCTCTGGCTCAGGTCATGATCCTGGGGTCCTGGAATCAAGTTCCACATCGGGCTCCCTGCCCAGCGGGGAGTCTGTTTCTGCCTTTCCCTTCACTGCTCTCTCCTCATGCTGTCTCTCTCTCTGTCTCTCAAATAAATAAATAAATAAATAATTTAAAAAGAGATTAATTTGATCTCTAAAGCAGTTTTATATGTTCTTACATAGATTTCTTCTGTTCATTGATGAAAATTTATTGGTAACTCTGGAGTATTAGGGAAGCTGAATACTAAGATAAGTGATTTTTCCTGGCTATATTTATTTGAAATTAAAATTACCCTTTTCTCTTCATGAAATTCTATAGATGAATAATACTTATTGTGGAGAAATAGGCATCGCATTCAGTGTTGATGTGGGTACAGATTAGCCCATCTTTTGGAAGGACAGTTTGACATCTATCAAAATGCATAATGGTCACAGTTTGAACTAGCAATTCCAGTTCTAGGGATTTATCCTAAAGAAATCCTCAGATAAGCACCCAAAGATACAGATCCAGTTTTTATAGCATTATTTGCAGTAATGAAAAATTCGAATCAACTCACATGTCCAGCAGTTAGAAATTATGATACACCCATGTGTTTGTATTCTGTTGCTGCCATAACAAATTACTACAAATTTAGCAGCTTAAAGCAACACAAGTTTATTCTGTTACAGTGTTGAAGGTCAGAAGCCCAACACGTGTGCCCTCCAGCTAGATCAGGGTAGATGCAGGTCTGTAGTTCTTCCTGTAGGCCCTGTAGGGGAAGACCCAGTTCCTTTTCTATTTGGATTTGGCAGTGTTTAGTTGCTTGCCAGCTGTAGGATTGAGATCCCCATGTCCTTGCTGGCTGTCTGCTCAGGGTATCCCAGCTTCTAATGGTCAGCCATACTCTTTGGCTCCTGGATTTCTTTCCTCTTCCTTCTGCCTTCTCTCTGAGGTTCTCTGCTGTTGAGGACTCATGTGGGATGTGAGGGTGGTATGGCTGCAACATCTGTCACCCCACTGATCACCAGGGTTGATTTGGCCGATCTGGCTGGTGAGGCGGGTGTCCCCTTCCTCCCTCACAGCTCCATGTGCGTCTCTCCCAAAGCTGCATGCTTGGTTGAAGAGGATGACCTTCCCCAGTAGAGGAGAGGACTGGTCTTCGGTTGGGGTATACGAGTAGCTGTACTCCGCTGCTAGAACCTTCAAACAAGCTCTCAAGGACTCATGTGATTAGATTGGGCCTATCCAGATAGTCCAGGATAATTCCCCCATCTCAAGATCCGTACCTTCAGTCACATTAGCGAAGTCCCTTTTACCAAGTAAAATGACATGTTCAGTTTCTAGGTTTCGGGGTGTGAATAAACATCTTGGGGCTGGGGGATGGGGAATCCTCATTCTGCCTGCTACAGTCCCCATAATGGAATGCTCTGCAGAATGAGTTCGGTGTACGTATACTTAAGTCGAAAATTGCCTAATACTAAGTTTAAAAAATAATTGTATATTATGTGTAGTATCACCTTATTTCTCTTAAAAAAAAAAAAAGTTGTAAAAAAGTTTTTTTAACATGCATAGGGGAATAATTGACTACCCACTGAATTGCTGTAATGTTTGAGGGCGCAAGTTTCGAGGACTTGGAACTTTATGGGATATTTGAGGGTTTTACAGTAAACATAGTGTTTTTGCAAGGTGTCCATTATGCTGGGTAAGGGGCTCTTTATTGGGTGCTTTAAGTATTGAGTGAGATAAGAAACCTCAAACAAAGGCCTGCGAGGAGCTAGTGGTTGTATTTAAGAGAGCGTGCGTGCGGGTGGAAGAGTTTACCACAGGCAGACAGCGTGCGCTGTTGCAGATGTTGGGTCCACACTCTAAGTGCTGTAGGGCTGTAAAGAAAAGAAAAGGAACTCTTTTCCCATAGCTGATCTGTATGAATGATTTTAAATTTACTCATTTAAATAAAAGTCATAAACGTACACTGGAGAAGTTCAAATACAGAAAAAAACAGCTTCGTGCATGGTGCTGTCACTTGGCCATTCTGTAATTTATTTAGTTTCTTAATGGACGTTCACATTATTTCCAGACTTACACAGACTGATACTCTTTTCAGGTCTGTAGGTTAAATTCCTGGCAGTGGAACTGCTGGATGAAAGTGAATGTACATTTAAACTCTTTGATGGAAGAAAGGATATAATTAGGGGAGGGGCGATGGGAATTGCGCAAAGTTAGTGCTCTTGCATTTCTTAGTTGTTCAGTAGGTGCTACGTGGGTGTCTATTATTCTTTGTATGAATTAAATTTGTTATAAAATATTTAACTTTTTTTTGAGTAGATAACTAAAATTTATCCCCACTTTTTTTTTTTTTTTAAGATTTTATTATTTATTTGACAGAGAGATCACAAGTAGGCAGAGAGGCAGGCAGAGAGAGGGGGAAGCAGGCTCCCCACCGAGCAGAGAGCCCGATGCAGGGCTCTATCCCAGGACTCTGGGATCCTGACCTGAGCCGGAGGCAGAGGCTTTAACTCACTGAGCCACCCAGGCACCCTAACCCCACGTTTTTGTCCTAAAATCGCTCCTGAAGGTGTATGAGACTAGCGGGTGCCTGACTTGTCACGTCCCGGGTAGCTGTCAGCGGGTGCCTTTTTTTTTTTTAGATTTTATTTATTTATTTGTCAGAGAGAGAGAGAGAACACAAATAGGCAGAGAGGGGGGAAGCAGGCTCTCCCCGCTGAGCAAGAAGCCCGACGCGGGGCTTGATCCCAGGACCCTGAGATCATGAACTGAGCCGAAGGCAGATGCTTAACCCGCTGAGCCACCCAGGCGCCCCTGTTGCTGTTTTATTGCAATTTTGTTTTTAATGCAGTGAATGTACTTATTACAAAATCCAATTGATAAACGCATGTGGATTATTTGGTAAGTTTAAAAGACTTGCTAGAAGGCTGGCAGAAACCTTGGCTCCCAGCCTCTGCTGCCTTCAGCTCCTCTGTGGGCCCTGCTCAGATTTGTGGGTTCTCAACACCTTTTATACCATATACTTCCAGTGCTTTCTTTTGCCTCTTCAGTGTCTGTCATCTGTTCACTTCAGGTGTTGTAGAAAAGGATTGATTATCTCCCTCCTTCCCACACCTTATCTCCCCACTATTGTTACTTGAGTGTCGTTTTTTTTTTGGTGGGGTGGAGGCCCAAATCACTATTTGGTGTGTAAATGATTTTGCTCCTTGCGTTCCTAGCAATACAATATGATGTAATTGCTATTGTTTTCTCATACGACCTTCTGCTTTTCCTGGGAAAATTTATATATATATATATATATATGTATATATATATATATTTTTTTTTTTTTAAAGATTTTACTTATTTGAGAGAGGATGTAAGGACATGAGCAGGGGCAGGGGGAGAAGCAGAGGGAGAGGGAGAGAATCTCCAGCAGACTCCCCACTGAGCTGAGAGCCAGATGCAGGACTCCATCTCACAACCCTGTGAGATCGTGACCTGAGCCGAAATGACAAGTTGGATGCTTAACCAACTGAGCCTCCCGGGCACCCCAAATTGCTTTATTTTTATTTCCTTAGTTTTCTGTTTGTACCTGTCACTACCAGGTCTTACCAAGCTGTCTGACATTCTCTCAGTATAATTTTCTATGAAGTAAATTTTCTAAATACAATAGACAGTATATAACATATTACGGTGACATGGGAAACATGACTCCCACGGTTTCCTCTTTCTTGATTTACTTCCTTTCGTGGGTGAAGTATGTCCTCAGAAAGGTGTGAGAGAAAACTTTTTTTTTTTTAAGATTATTTATTTATTTATTTGACAGAGAGATTGAGACCACAAGTAGGCAGAGAGGCAGGCAGAGAGAGAGGAGGAAGTAGGCTCCCCACGGAGCAGAGAGCCCAATGTGGGGCTCGATCCCAGGACTCTGGGATCATGACCTGAGCTGAAGGCAGAGGCTTAACCCACTGAGGCACCCAGGCGCCCCCGAGAGAAAACTTTTGAGACGTTTGATACCTTAGATATCTGTTCAGCCTTTAGACTGACTAGTTACCCAATGCTAGGTTGAAAAAAAAATTCTAAAAATTGTTATGGCTTCACTTCACTTCAGGTTCTAGTGGTTTTTTTTTGCTATTTGGTACCCCCTTTCCCATTATCCAAGAAGCTTTTAGGTTATTCTCCTTATGCTTGATTCCTTGAAAACATAAGGGTGCTTTTGGTTTGTTTGCTTGTTTGTCATGGTTTTTTTTCCTTCATTGGGCTGGCTATGCAGTAAACCCTTTCTATATGGATATTTATGTCCCTTTGGTCATAGAACCATTCTTGTGGTATTTCTCTGAGTATTTCCTCTCCACTTGTGTTTTTTATCTTTTTCTGCAACTTGATTATCTGCTGTAATAAAAGAACGGTGCAAGGATAGTTACAATGTTGAGCCACAAAGAGTGTAATTAGCTCAGCCCTCTGCACTTCAGGAAGGGGAACGAGCCATAGATGGTGAGAGGGGTTGTAGGCAAAGAGGGGCGCCTGGCTGGCTCAGTCAGTCTTCTCTTGGGGTTGTGAGTTTGAGCCCTCCGTTGGGTTGAGTGTAGAAATCACTTAAAAATAAAATCCTAAAAAAAAAAAAAAAAAAAAAAAAAGGCAGAGAGGGCTTTTTTCCAGTTGGGAAACAACCTGAACAAAGGCAAGGAGGTAGGAATTGCAGAGTCAAGACTGATAGGAGAGTGGGAGTTATGGATGGACAAGCTGTTGCATAGTCTAAGGACGGCTCAGCTGGTAATGGCAAGCAAACGGATTTGGGGAGATAAGAAACCAGAATTTGGGAGAATTGCGAGAAGGTGGTTTTAATAAATCAGATCTGAGGTTGGTAAGCAGAATGAAGAGGCAGATTGAGATATGAGACTCTTTCGGGGCGCCTGGGTGGCTCAGTTGTTAAGTATCTGTCTTCAGCTTATGTCGTGATCCCAGGGTCCTGGGATCAAGCCCCGCATTGGGCTCCCTGCTCGGGGAAGGCCTGCTTCTCCCTCTGCCACTCCCCCTGCTTGTGTTCCTTTTTTCGCTGTCTCTCTCTCTCTGTCAGATAAAATCTTTAAAAAAAGATATGAGGCTCTTTCATGGAAGAATCAGCAAGATACAGTAACTAGCTAGAAATGGATGAAGTGACAATCAGCCTAATAACTTTCTCACTTAAGCCTTGAGGTGTCTCACTGTTCATGCTGCGTCACTTGTGCACCAGCGACATGCAGCCCTTTCCTTAAGCATGAGTAGAAGCAGGTAGCTATCTTTGCCTTCATTTACCGCCCAGCACTAATGATAGGCCTAAGTATGTGAATGGGTATCTTTCTGTCATCTTACGTAAGTGCTTGTAATACATATTTGCCTTTATTCCATCTGTATTGCTCCCTGGGAGAGAATGCAAATGCCAAGTAGCATTTTGTATGAATTATGCAGATCTCTTGATAGCTCGCCTGGACAAGCTTACCAGCCATTCATCACCCTGCTGCAGGCTTGGAAATGGGAGAGGTTATACATGTATTGCTTCGTCTAATTTGGCACCTCATTTTTTTAAGGACACAAATTGATGGGAAATATTAATTCCTTTAAATTACTGACTTGAAATAACACTTCTTCAGAAGGACTTGAGATGCTTTTTACTGGTTCTGTTGATTCTTTCCCTCTAAATGTCTTTATTTTTTTCTTTTTTCTATCCTAACAAGCCAGAGAATTTCTCATCTTTTGAGCTCTCATTGTTCTGTGCTTTAAATGTTATTTCCCCACATGATTTGTTGAGAGGTTAATGTCTGCTCCTTCCTTTTTATATGGGTTCCTCTTTTTGATCTTGAAAAGATTTTTTTCTTTCTCTGAAGAGGAGGAGGTGGAAAATTGTAATACTTGTTTTCAGTTGTGAGCTAGGAAGCTTCTTGTAGCAGAGCCATTTCTCCATACTTGCCTGTGGCTTGGATCTGCGTGGTGGTTCTGTGATTGAGAGCGCCCTCTTACGGTGACGCAAAAATAACTCAGGAAGCCTGACCCATTGGTGGGAACAGTGTTCAGAGTTTGCAGACAGAGTACTTGCTGTCTACGCTTTAGGAGAAGTTGAAAGATGCCACTCCCTCATACAAGAATAACCTATTGGGAAATTTTATGTGTGTCAGGTGGAACGGCCTCCTTCTCCGTTTTCGATGGCCCCACAAGCTTCCCTTCCCCCAGTGCCACCTCGACTTGACCTTCTGCAACAGCGGGTGTCTCTTCCTGCAAGTGCTTCTGGTCTTGGAACTGCTTCTAAGGTAAGATGTTACCCATTTCTACAGTCTTCTGATTCTTTGTTGTGGATTATAGCGTTGTGGATTACAGTGGGGTTTTTTGGTTTTTTAGATAAGTAGGTTTTGATTGATTTACTTTCCTCATGCTTCGCAGGTAGCTTCTGGCTCCCTTCATAAGGACAAACCATTACCAATACCTCCCACACTTCGAGATCTTCCACCACCACCCCCTCCAGACCGGCCATATTCTGTTGGAGCGGAATCCCGGCCACAGAGACGTCCCTTGCCTTGTACACCGGGTGACTGTTCGTCCAGAGACAAACTGCCCCCTGTTCCCTGTGGCCGCCTTGGGGAATCATGGCTGCCTCGGCCAATCCCCAAAGTACCAGTGGTTGCCCCCAACTCTAGTGACCCCTGGACAGGTAGAGAATTAACCAACAGGCACTCACTCCCATTTTCATTGCCCTCACAAATGGAACCCAGAGCGGATGTGTCCAGGCTTGGAGGCACATTCAGTGTGGATACCTCCATGGTGAGTCCTGTTTCTGACATTTTTTTGCCTATTAACAAATACTTTTGCATGACGTTGAATGGGTCAGAGTTTTGTGATAGGTTTTGTGCAGGATTCCGAGACAGTGAAACATCCCTGTCCTCAGGCGTGTGTATATATACCCTCAAGAAGTGTACTACTAGAGCAGATAAAGCGTGTTTGCCAATAATGCTGTAGGAATGCTTGTGCACCTGCGTGTGTGTGTGTGTGTGTGTGTATGTATGTATGTATGGCTGGATTCATACAGTGTGAGTATTATAAATGGAAAGCATTGAAGTTGTAGAGAAAGGAGAGATTATTTCCAAATAGAGCAATCATGAGGGCTTTATGGAACAAATGACATTTGAATTCAAAGTGTTCTTTCCAGAGTGAATAGTGTGAAGGTCACGAGTACAATGACACAGATGCTTGAGGTATATTGTGGAACTAGAAGTAGTTTAATTTGAGTGGAGCAGAAGTTTTGTATGTCAGAGGAGGGAAGGTCTAGAAAGGGGCATTAGTACTAGATTGGAGGACCTTGAAAATCCCATCAAGGCCAAAAGAGTTTTAATTTATTTGGTAGGAGATGAGCACTTGAAGGTTTTAAATTAGGGGAATGACGTGAGCAAAGTGATGGTTTACAGAGATAAATCCAGTAGTATGCAAAAATGGATTGCTAAGAGAGTAGATTGAGAGAAGGTTAGTGGTTCATTGTATAAGCATGAGATAAGGGTCCAGACCTGGGGGTGGGGAGGTTTATTTGTTCTTTTGTTGGTTCATTTGTGTATGCGCTCCACAAAAAAAAATTCTGCCCTCACAAAGTTTACATTCTAATGGAGTAAAGACAAACATGGTAAGTTAATAAAACAAAGGACACTGGATGCTAATGAGAGCTATGGAGGAAAAGAGCAGAAGAAAAGGGGTATTGGGGCAGTTGATGTTGGGGTCGGGGGTACGTGGAGGGATGGGGTACACTTCTGAGCAAAGATCTGGATCGCTGTTGAGAGCGAGCCGTGCTGATTCTGAGGGAGACCCTTCGAGGATGAAGGGGAGGCCGGTGAGTTTGGGAGACTATGGTGGGAAGTAAGCAAGAGGGAGAATGCGCTGGTGCACATTTCATTGACCTGCTTTCTCTTGTGTGTGTGAGCAGTGTTATTTCTTATGTGCTACACAAATAGTTGAAGGTTAATTAGCAGTATAACTACATAGTAATGCTGCCAGTCCCCTTCAGACAGATTTAAAAAGGGGGAGAAAAACCTGTGAGCAGTGAAGTTTGGAATATGGCGGAGCCCTCACGTGAACTGGGTGCTGCTGCTTGGTGGCGAGAGAAGGGGGATGGTCACTTGCAAGTGGCATTGAGTGACAGGCCGTCTAATTCATGAGAATGAATTAGGTCCGGCTTTCTGGTGACTGCAGAAAGAGGTGTAGGTTTTTAAAGCTAGACAGGGTATTTGTATCGACAGCCCATTTCCTCAAATCTTCTAGAGTCAAAACAAAACCCCCCATTTCCTTGGCTCTTTTTAGATCTCTGTCTTCCTCGCCCTGACATTTAAACTCTGTTCAGAGCCTGAAAGCAGCTCTGCTTTTGATCAGATGTAGTAACGTGTGAGTGGCATTGAGAGCGGGGTCTGGGTCTGTGTTACTGTTCTTACTATTTTGATGGGGTCGGAGAAGGAAGAGGGGACACTTGAGTCGTGTTAAGTAGGTTCTTTCTCACTTTTCTTTCCAGAATGTGAATAACAACCCATTAGCAGGTTCAGAGTGCGAGCACCCCAAAATCAAACCTTCTGCATCGGCCAATGCCATTTACTCTCTGGCCGCCCGGTAAGTACAAGGTCGCAGCCCGCACAGCGGACGCGCTCCCGCTGACCAACAGCCTCCGCACAGAGCGTAGGGAGCCCAGGGCGGCCTGAGGAAGAAAGTTTAAGCTGATCTGTGTTTGTATCAGCTCAAAACTAGATCCTATGTTTTGGTCTCCTCTTTTCTCTATGTCCGTTTACGTGATCAGCCTTACTGGGCTTAGTGATTTTATTAATCTTCTCAAAGAAGCAGTTTTGGTTTTGTTGACTTCTGTAAAAAAAAAAAACAAAATCTTAATCATTCTTATGATTTTTAAGTTTGATTCTTAATTCTTAGTATGTATGGTAAAGTACACAAATACACCATCTTGGGGCACCCAGGTGGCTCAGTCAGTTAAGCGTCTTGACTCTTAGTTTCAGCTCGGGCCATGATCTCAGGGCTGTGGGATCGAGCCCTGAGCTGCGCTCTGCATGGGGCACGGAGTCTGCTTGGGATTCTCTCTCTCCCTCTGACCCTCCCCCCTCTCTTTCTCCCTCTCTAAAAATGTATACATATACCATCGTACTTAGAAGTGTACGGGTCAGTGGTATTAAGTGCATTCACATTATGCAACCATCACCGTCATCCGTGCTCATAACTCTTCATCTTGTAAAACTGAAATCCTGCGCATACTGAGCAGTTGCTCCCCGTCCTTCCCTGCCCCGGCCCCTGCAGCCACCGTTACGCTTTGTCTTCAGGATTTTGACTACTTTAAATACCACTTGTAAGTGCAACCATACAGTATTTGTCTTTCTGTGACTGGTTCAATTTACTTATTGTAATGTTCTCGTCCATGTTGTAGAATATGGCAGACTTTCCTTACTCTAAGGCAGAGTAATATTCCAGTTGTGCCCCCCCCTTATCTGCAGGGGGTACCTTTCAAGGCCCCCTGAATGCCCTAAACCAAGGATAGTACTGAACCCTATGTGTACACTGTGTTTTCTTTTCTAACATACATACATACATACATACATATATACGTACATACATGGTAAAGTTTAATTTATAAATTAGGCACGGTAAGAGATTAGGAACAACAATAATAAAATAGAACAGTTGGAACAGTTTGCTATAGAAGTTGTATGAACATGGTCTTTCTCAGAATACCGTACTGTACTCCCCTTTCTCGTGGTCATGTGAGGTAAAGTGCCTCTGATAAGAAGTGAGGGGGGTGATGTAGGCATTTGGACGTAGTGTTAGGCTACTGTTGACCTTCTGATAATATATCAGAAGGAGGATCATCTGCTTCCACACCACAGCTGACTATGGGTAAGTAAAACCACAGAAGATAAAATTGCAGATAAAGGGTGACTCCCGTACCATATTTTGCTTATCCATTCATCAGTGGGTGGACACTGGGATGGCTTTCACGTTTTAGCTGTTGCAGTGATGCTGCTGTGAATGTGGGTGAATAGATACTGGTCAGGGCCCTACTTTCAATTCTTTTGAATATGTACGCAGTAGTAGTATTCCTGGATCCTATGGTAATTCTATTTTTAATTTTTTGAGACACCACCATACTGTTTCCCGTGCCCTTTTTGTGGCATCTTTAGGCTTTTCTGTATATGAGATCATATCATCTGCAAACGGAGATAATTTTTCTTCTTTTCCAATACGATTGCCTTTTATTTTTCTTGCCTTGTTGATCTGGTTAGAAATTCTAGTACTAAGACATCTGGGTGGCTCGGTTGGTTAAGCGTCTGCCTTCTGCTCCAGTCACCCTGGGGTCCTGGGATCGAGTCCTGCATTGGGCTCCCTGCTCAGCGGGGATCCTGCTTCTCCCTCTCCCTGCCGCTCCCCGTGCTTATGCTTGCTCTCTGACAAATAAAATAAATAAAATCTAAAAAAAAAGAGAGAAAAAAAAAGAAAAAGAAATTCCAGTACTCTTGAGTACTCAGGAATGGTGAAAGTGGACATGCTTGCCTTGTTCCTGATCCTTCAGGAAAAGCTTTCAGTCTTTCACCATTGCATATGATGCTTGCTGTGGGCATTTCATATATGGCTTTCATTATGTTTAGGTACTTTTATTCCTATTTTGTTGAGTGTCTTTGTCTAAAAGGGTGTTAAATATTGTCAGATGCTTTTCTGCACCAACCGAGATGATTGTGTGGGGTTTTTTTCCCTTTTGTTGACCTGCTGTATTTATATTAATCCGCTTGCATTTGTTGAGCCATCCTTGCTTTCCAGGTGTGAATCCCACTGACGTATAATGGTGCATAATCCTTCTTAAGTGCTGCTGAATTCTTTTTGCTGGTATTTTGTTGCGGACTTTTGTATCGGTGTTCATAAGGGACATTGATGTGTTGTTTTCCTGTAGTGTCCTTGTCTGGCTTTGTGTCATGATTGTGCCATCCTCACAGAATGAGTTAGAAAGTGTTCCTTCTTCAGGTCTTTGGAGCAATTTGAAAAGAACTGGTAGCGTGCCTGCGTGGTCCATTGAGTTAGGCGTCAGCCTTCAGCTCAGGTCATGATCCCCCTGCTCGGCGGGAGCCTTCTTCTCCCTCTGCCTCCACTCCTGTGATTCTCTCTCTCTCTCTCTCTCTCTCTCTCTCTCTCTCTCGTTCTCTCTCTCCCAAGTAAATAAAGTCTTTCAAAAAAAGAATTGGTACTCGTTTTGTATTAAACACTTGGTCGCATTCACCAGAGAAGCTATCAGGTACGCGGCTTATTGTTGTTGGCAGGTTTTGGACTACTGAATTCATCTCCTGTAAGTCTCTTCAAATTCTCAATTTTTTGTGATTTAGTCTTCAGAAGTATTGTGTTTCTAGGAATTTGTCCATTTAAGTTACACATTGTTTTGGCATATAACTATTCATAGTACTTTTTTTTTTTTTTTTTAAAGATTTTATTTATTTAGGGTGCCTGGGTGGCTCAGTGGGTTAAGCCTCTGCCTTCAGCTCAGGTTATGATCTCAGGGTCCTGGGATCGAGCCCCACATCGGGCTCTCTGCTCAGCGGGGAGCCCGCTGCCCCCCTCTCTCTCTGCCTGCCTCTCTGCCTACTTGTGATCTCTCTCCCTCTGTCAAATAAATAAAATCTTTAAAAAAAAAAAAAAAAAAGATTTTATTTATTTATTTGATAGACAGAGATTACAAGTAGTCAGAGAGGCAGGCAGAGAGAGGAGGAAGCAGGCTCCCTGCTGAGCAGAGAGCCCGATGCGGGGCTTGATCCCAGGACTCTGGGATTGTGACCTGAGCTGAAGGCAGAGGCTTCAACCCACTGAGCCACCCAGGCGCCCCTTCATAGTACTTTCTTAAAATCTTTTTTATTTCCGTAGAATTGGTAGTAATGTCTCCACTTTAGTTTCTGAGTTTTAGTAATTGGAGTCTTCTCTCTTTTTTTCTTAATCCATCTAGATAATGACACAAAGATAATGACATCGTGACACAAAGCCAGACAAGTTTTGTCAGTTTTGTTGCTCTTTCTGAAGAACTAACTTTTGTTTTCATTGATTTTTCTCTGTTGTTGTGGGGTTTTTTTTTCTCCTATGTATGTATTTATTTGACAGAGAGAGCGAGCGAGCACCAGTAGGCAGAGCAGCAGGCAGAGGGAGAAGCAGGCTCCCCGCTGAGCAGGGAGCCTGATGTGGGGCTCCATCCCAGGACCCTGAGATGATGACCTGAGCCAAAGGCAGTCGCCTCACCGACTGAGCCACCCAGGCGCCCCAGTTCCTGTATTTTATTTACTTCTGCTCTAGTCTTCATTGCTTCCTTCCTTCCACAAGCCTTGGTTTTGGTTGATTCTTTTTGTAGTTCCTTAAGTTGTAAAGTTAGGTTGGTTTGAGATCTTTTTTTAATCTTTAACGGAACCATCAATGCTATAAATATAGCACTGCGTTAGATTTTGTTGCACTGTGTTTTTGGTCTCATTCACCTCTAAGTGTTTTCTAATTTCCTTTGTAATTTCTTCTTTGATCTGTTGGCTGTTTAAAAGTGTATTATTTGATTTTTATAATTTTGTAGAATTTTCAGTCTCACTTTTGTTACTGATTTCTAATTTGATGAGATTGTGGTCAGAGAAGACACTTTGCATGTCTTTTAAAATCCACTAAGACTTAATTTGTGGCCTCACATACTGTCTGTCTAGAAACTGTCCCTGTGCACTTGAGAAGAATGTGTGCCACTGTTGAGTGGAGTGTTGTGTTAGAGCTGATCGGTTTATATGTTGTTTAAGTACTGTCTCCGTGCTTCTGTCTGGCTGTTCTATCCATTACTGTGGGTGAGGTTCAGAAATTTCCACCTATTGGGACATCTGGGTGGTGCACTTGGTCAGGTGTCCAGCTCTTGGTTTCGGCTCAGGTCATGAGATCAAACCCCACATCAGTCTCCAAGCTCAGCACAGAGTCTACTTCAGGATTCTTCCTTCCTTCCCTCTCTCTCCCTCTGTCCCTCACCTCCCCGACCCCCCACCATATGCACATGCTCACTCTCTCCCTCTTTTTCTCTCTCTCAAATATTTTTTAAAGTTCCTTTATTCAGTACATTATTATTTGATAGGTTGTCACCTGTTTTTTTTTTCAGTGTCATTAATAGTACTGTAGTGAATATTCTCAATTATTTTCTTAGAGAAAATTCTTAGTTGTGGAATTACTGAGTCCAAGAGTATGCATGTTTGGTTATATATTTTGGGGGAATTACACTCCAGAAAAGTTGTACTAATTTCTTATTTCTAAAACTGTGTAAGAAAGTATCCATTTCCCTATATTTTCCCCAATACTTGGTATTTTTCCTTAATCTTTATAGGCATTTCCTTAATCTTTATAGGTATTTCCCACAAACAATTTATTATATGAAAAGTGTCAAGCATAGAGTCAGGGTGACAGATTTTCACCGTGACCATCCACATACTCCCCGCCTGGGTTCTACTGACAGCATTTTTTTTATCCTTGTTTTTTTTTTTTTTTTTTTTTTTTTTTAATTTTTTTTTTTAAAGATTTGTTTATTTTTTTGACAGAAATCACAAGGAGGCAGAAAGGCAGGCAGATAGAAGGAAGCAGGCTCCCCGCTGAGCAGAGAGTCCGATGCGGGGCTCGATCCCAGGACCCTGGGGACCCTGAGCCAAAGGCAGAGGCTTTAACCCACTGAGCCACCCACTATCCTTGTTTTATCACGCATTTCTGTCTATCCTTTTTTTCCCCCTTTAATCTCTACACGCTACCCCAGTGTGGGGCTCGAACCTACAACCCTGAGATTAACCATCATATGCTCCATGACTGAGCCCGCCAGGCACTGCCCTGTCTGTATTTCTGTCTATCCATAAGTCTATCTTTTTGGACACGTTTCAGAGTAAATTGTAGATACTAATACAGTTCCACCTGAAAACGTGAGCATGCCGTGTGCAAAGAAAGTAACGCGAGGACATGAGAAAAACAAAATCTCCGATTATGTTATAGGGATTGTCTGTGTTAGGTTTCCTTGGCATTTAAGTGTCTTATAATCAACTGCTGCTTTCATAATTGGGAAAAACAAACACTGTGTAAACACAGGAAAACCCCGTAGGTGCTCCCACTAGTTACAGACTGCTTCAGATGCACGGGGACGGTGTAAAGGGCACGGGGGAGATGCTCTCTTTAACTCACATTCCCGGTAGCCATTGTGTCTGTGTGCCTGTGTGCACGTGCGTGTTTCTCAATTTTGTGGATTTGTTTTGTCTTGTTTTCTTGTTATTTTTGTCTTTGTCTGGTTTCGGGGCGGGTAGTAGGAGAAATTTCAGTTCAAAAGTTTCTGGGTGAGAGTTTGTACGCCCTTTGGGTATGACAGCGGGATCCCTGAAGCAGGAGTCAGGATGGGACGTCTGGTCTCAAATCTGGTGCTAAGCTAGCAAGGCACCTGATCTCTCTTATTTCAGATGGTTCTTACATCAAACGAGGAGAAAAGATGTTTATACTATGAGATAACAAATGAGAAGGCTTTTGATAAGCTGTAAACTCTCTGAAACTGTAGGTAGATTCTAGAGTGGGGACTTGGTACAGGTTCCTAGCATACAGGATGGGGACTCCCGACTTACCTGGGGACGGAGACTCACGAGTATCAAGTACTGCCCCTGTTTGCAGCCCAGCTCAGCGCAGCTACATCTGTGGTCAGCTGAGGGCAGAGATCTGTTAGTGCCATTTGCAACAACGACCGTCCTTGGCCGGGAGGAGGAGTAGTTCCCTAGGTGCCATCCGTTCACTCTGTCGGATTTGAGTCGTGGCCTGGTTGAAGGCACTCATTTCATACTTGCACGTTTAGCAGCTTGTTAGTTTTCAGTTTCTTTCTCTTTTATTCTTCTTCTTCCAGGCCTCTTCCTGTACCAAAGCTGCCCCCCGGCGAGCAGTGTGAAAGTGAGGAGGACACAGAGTATATGACCCCCTCCTCCAGGCCTCTGGGGCTTCCAAAGCCAGATGGGAAACGGCCTTTGGAGACCGCCCAGAGTTCACGGTACATTCATGACAGTCCCATCTGGGAGCGGGGGTGACACCACTCACCTGCTTGGCTGTGGCCTGTGCGATGTCACCAGCCGGAGTTAAAGCGGACGGTTGTATGCGGCCCCTAGTGTTTGGTCTCTTCCAGCTATAGGCGATCCCACTTACACTTCCTCACGGTCATGTTCATTTCAAAAACACTCATCTATTATGCATCGGAAGAGTCAGTCTTGGGACATTTGTTAGTGATCCTGGCAAAAGGAGTAGGTGTTGTCCTGATAGACTCTGGGTCTAGAATAGTGAAGACCAGATGAGTGTTAATAAGTTTGCAGGTAACAGAGTTCTCTTGTGAAGATCATCTGCCCCGTTCCTTCTGCTTCAGAGCGTGTGACTGTGACCAGCCGATTGATAGCTGTACATACGAAGCAATGTATAATATTCAGTCCCAGGCGACGCCATCAGCCACAGAGAGCAGCTCCTTCGGTGAGTAGCTGTCCTGCCACTTGGAAGATCAGTGCTGTGTCCTAGGAATGAACCTGTAATATTTGGCTATTTGGGACAGCTTGATCTTAGCAAAAACTTCTTTTAAATAATTTCCTTTGTAAAATATCTTTGATCCATGGGCAGCAAAACCCTCTCCTCTCATTTCCTGTTCCCACAACGAGTTCCCTTTTCATCCTTCCAGGGCCTAGAGACATTTGGGGTTATGGGGCCTGGGCCCGCAGTGCTGACAGCTCCCTTTTATTTCCTTTGCTTTTTAGCATTGATGAAATTCTTTTGTGTGTGGGTGGTGAACACTCTATTCCCATATCAACTAGCTTCCAAGTGGAAAGTCCAAGAAGGCAGCACACACAGGCTCTTCAGCTGGTGCTCCAAGGTGATATGTCGATAGCGATGTTGAACGACTGCCATAAAATGGCTCTGAGTCTTTGGCGTCAGCGGCCATCACCGTTGGCAGGGGTAGCCGTTGCCCCGTTCAGGAGAGCAGAGCTTCGGGATTGGCAGAGACTGCATTTTCTCTGTTCTTTTATCTCCAGCCGCAGGGCTTCCCATGGTGGTTGGCCTGGGGTAGAGAGTTGGTAACTTTGATGGGTTTCTCTCCACGAGCTGTATTAGCGCACGGGTGTGTAAGAAGGTGGTGACAGCACACACTTTTTTCTCTAGGGGAAGGGAGTCTGGCTGCGGGCCATGGGGGTGCCGGCCCCGAGGGATCAGAAAATGAGGAAGACGGCTATGACGTCCCTAAGCCGCCGGTGCCGGCTGTGCTGGCCCGCCGGACCCTCTCCGACATCTCTAACGCCAGCTCCTCTTTTGGCTGGTTGTCTCTGGAAGGCGAGCCCACCACACGTGAGTCTCCAGGCCGGCTTGGGTTTGTGCTGTGGCAGAGGTGACTGCTGGGCCACAGCGCCTTTGTCACCAGATTTTAGTCTCTTTAGTCTAAGTGGGAGGAAGAGCTGGTCCGGGGTCCTGGTTAAGAAGTTAAACTGGAGACCGATTTTTCAGGATTCTGCCAGGCTTAAGAGGTTGTTCCTTAAACCCTTGCCCCTCTTGGCTGGTGGGAGGTAGGGCTTCCGGTTCTTCCGAGCATGTATTAGGACACTGGTAATGAAGCCTGATGGTACAGAGCACGTATTCCTGACCTCTGGACCCTGTTGCGTTGCCAGGAGGGCATGCAGGCTCTGGAAGGCACACTGAGCGGGCTTGGAGCCAGGCTGCACTTGGGCCTTGACCGTCAAGGTCTGCCCTCGCACCTGTGCCTGCCTGGAAGGGCAGCACCCAGGGTTGCTGTCCTGCTGGAAACTGAAGCCCGAGCTCAGGACAGCTGGCGAAAGAGAGACAGCATCCAACTGCCCAGGGAGGCGGTGACCCCACCCACCCAGCCTTGCTTCCTGCTGCTCAGCGGCAGCTCAGGCTTCCTTCTCTTCTCCTTCTTTGTCAGAGGAGACGTTTAGCGTCCTCTCTGGCCCCATCTGAAACGTTATTTTCAATCGTCCCAGCACTACCGTGCATGAACACTTGTTGCAAAATGTGTAAAGCATGATGATGTAGATAGAGGTGTCTGAACTCGGGGCAGCAGTGTCCCCCTCAGCGGAGCAGGCGGATGGTATATTTAGAAGGTGGCTCCTGCCAGGAGGGAGGAGGAGGTGGAGGTTAGCTGCTACAACCCTGGAACCTGTAGAGTCCGGCCCTTTGAGAGCCCAAGTACCCCGTTGCAGTAGGTCAGCTCGATCCTAGGACACTGTTCTTACTGCCTTTAAAGGGTGGCTCCCCCCAGATTTGCACCTCTTTTCTGTTTGATTTCTTCTAGACTTCACCGAGGGTTCCCAAGTTCCTGAAAGGCCTCCCAAGCCGTTCCCTCGGCGAATCAACTCAGAACGGAAAGCAGGCAGCTGTCAGCCGGGTGCCGCTGCCGCCGCCGCCGCCTCCTCGCCACAGCTCTCCAGTGAGATCGAGAGCCTCATGAGCCAGGGCTACTCCTACCAGGACATTCAGAAGGCCCTGGTCATTGCCCACAACAACATCGAAATGGCCAAGAACATCCTCCGGGAATTTGTTTCTATCTCGTCTCCTGCCCACGTTGCCACCTAGCAGAGCCCTCTCCGCTGTGGCGTCAGGACCAGTGAGCCGGGCGCTGTCCCCCGGGCGGCCCCTCAGAGGGCAGAGGTTCCTCGGGAGACTTCACAGTGAAGTCTGGCCCTCTCTGTGGGATTCCACATCTGTGGTTCCAAGATTTCAAAACAGTGGAATGAACGTGGAGCAGCTAGTGTGTTTTACTTTATTTGTTTTGAGAGTGGATTTGAAGGTGTCCTTCAGCCCCCAATTAGAGTGTGGATTTTTATTAAATGGTAGCCTACTGGGGGAACAGTCCAGAAAGCGGTGGGAGAAGTATTGTGCTGTAAATCCTCATGGGGGACTTCAGACTTCCCTGGGTTAAGGAGTGCTTGTGCGTGTGTGTGTCTGTCTGTCTGTGGTGGCGTGTGTCCTGTGATTATAAGGTGAGCCTGCTGTGTGGTTAATCCTGGGCAGGGAATTAGCACAAGAGACGTAGGAAGGAATGGTCCGGAGACCTCCCTCTACTGTGGTGTGAGACCCCGCCCTGGTGTGTAGTTTGGCGCCCTCGAGCTCCCCTGTGGCTTGAATTACCGTGCGCACAGCTCGAGTCTTGTATTTTTAGAACACCCTCCCTCTGTCCTTTCCCCTGTCTCTGCCTCCTCCTCCTTGGTGTCTGTCATTGGCCACGGGCTTGCTCCAACCAGCCTCACTGAAGCCCAGTGGCTTACAGGATGTTCCTGATTATGTGTGATGGTGTTGGTTTGTTTGGTGGATAGACAGGGCAAGGAAAAGTACTGTTGCTGCATCATCACAGTCCTGTGTGATCCTAGCGGCTAACACTGGTCACTCCAAAGCACTGTTTCCATAGGAACGTTGATTCTGTGACAATGAGATGTTTTAATTATCCTAATGACGTAATGACTGATCTGAGATAGAGGCCTTCAGATACATTCCATGCCCTCCCCAGAAGGCCGTCTGTGGGAGTCCGTTGCCTTCCTGCCAGGTGTGTGTTCTCATGTAGGTCACGGGCGTTTATCCTTACTGGAAGGGAAGAACATTTGTTTGCAGTCTGGCTTTCTGGCCTGAAGGCCACCAAACTTTGAGGAGCTTCCTTTTCATGCTCTTTCCCTTGTTATGCAGAAGATGGACAAAATAGATAGGACTCATCGGTTTGGTTTTTCTTCCCAGTGAGTCAGTTCCATCTTGTGTGGGCACCTCCCTCGGAACGTGAGCCAGGTTATACTTTCAGAAGAGGCTTTTGTCCTTGCCCTTGAAGGGGAGGGGATGGCACCCATGGTAGCACAGCATTTTGCTGGTAATTAGCACCAGTCCTCCCCTGGCACCACCAACGATGTGGTTTTCTCTTGTGCCTGTGGCTTTGGGAACGGAGCATCTCTTCCCCTCTTCTCGCCACACTGGTCCTCTGTGCTCTTCAGAGACCGCATTCTCCATAGCAGTGACAGGTCCCGAAGTGCGACGAACACCTTTGCAGGGGTCAGAGATGGGGCGAAAAGCCCAGCAGCTGGTGCGCGTGTGGGTTTGTGAGGAAGATTCGGAGTCCAGCGTGGGGGGGGCCGTGAATCGGTTCCGGTAAGGTACTGCGAAATGAGCCCCAGTCAGCCAGTGCTCTGGCCGGTCTTTGCTGAATTCCCTAGCAGGCCGTACCCTCTTGCGCAGCAGAAGCAAACCTACTCTTTGATACATCTGCCCTCCTCTAAGTCTAAATCATGCTTTTGTCTTTAGATCCAGACAGAAATGAATCTCTCGAGGTCCATTTTCTTTCCCGTTTTTTCATCTGTGGAACTAAAGCGTTTCCTGATTCTTCTCTTCGCTTTTGGCTATTCCTAGACCTTTTGGCTTTGTGCTCTTGCCTCAGAGCCATTTACATTCCCAGGGTAGATGGTACTGGACCTCTTGTCGATAGGCTCTGGCTCCCCAGTGTCTGCTCAGCATGGCCGGGAGCAGCAGCCCTGCCCGGGCACACCTGGGAGCGGGACAGTGGCAGTCACTGGGAAGCAGTGACCTAGCGTCTCCTTCTAAGAGCCAGTAAGGAGCCTGTTTCATTTGTGGTTAACACTCCGTTTGCATTTTGTTTAGATGGTGGAGTCAGGCAAAGAACCAGGGAAGATGGCAGCATTTTCCCTGCCTGTCCACACTGGAAGTTTTCCTTGTCTGCAGACCTCGTCCACAGTCTGAAGGTGTGTCAGGAGAACAGAGCCCTGGTTCTGCATATCTCTTGCCTGTTTGGTGTATCCCACATATTCTCTGGAGAGTCTTTCCTTACTCATATAGGCCAAGGGCAGGTTCGTCCCTTTTTTCCTAATTGAGTACCCCCGTGCCTCCCGGGGTGGGCCCTGAGACTGGGCTGTCAGGACCCTAGGGTCAGACATATGCATCGGTGACTGGCTTGCTGGGTGGCTGTCCGCTGCGGGCCTGGGCTTCCCGCGGGTTAGAACGTTCTGGGAGGTTTGCTATCTTTGGGTGCTCTGAGGACAAACTTCAGCCATGCCTGAGACCGCCATCATCCCCTCAGAAAAGTTTCCACGTGGGCGTTTGTCTTGAGGGGACTTCCAAAACTTTAATTTCTTCACTTTTCCTTGGACTAAGGCACAAATAACCCTTCTTCATCTTCCAGTTGTATGGCAGTTTCCAATTCTGGGCTCTGCTCGGAATTTAAAACTGCCCTTTCAGAAGTGGGCTCTGAGTTCTGCCAGTTTGGGCAGACCCCTCCCCTCTCTCCCTCCGAATTCAGGGTGGTTCCTTCTCTGATCCCTTCCCAGGAGGATGAGGTAAAAGCCACTTAGGGGTTTTGTCAGATGCATTAGGTTCTTCTCTTCAGTGCGGTCTCCTGCTTTCCCTTTGTCTTTCTGGCTTGGTCTACACAGTCTGCCTCGTCGTCGTCTGGGGTCTGCTCGGCAGTAGGTCATCCACTGCCCGAGCCAGGCTCCTTCCGCTCAGGTAAAGGGTTCTCAAGTGGGAAAACCTGTGGGCTCTGTGATATACCTCCCTTGAAGAAATGAAGAGATTGGTCAGTTTCTCGTCTCCACGTTTACCTGTTAATGTTGATGTAAATAGCGATCTGTACCTGTGGATGGCCATTCTCCTCCCCTGGCCCTCTGGCCCCCCACAGCCCACACACTCTGCCCTTCTGTTCTCTTAGCCACACAGCCCCAGGGCCCAGGATGGGGGAGAGTGCTCCTTGTATCAGTTAGCTGTTCCGTGGATTAAAATTTTTGGAAGGGGGTCGCTATTCTTCATACTTAAAAGTATTTATTTTCTCTGTAGAAAAGTAAAATATAACCCATGGTCCACACAGGAAACATACAAATGAGTTTTTGTAAATTTGCTAGCAGAGTAGGGACCAAGCTCTGTGTTCCCTTTAAGGCACCATTAACAAGATCCGCACCTGTTTCAGGTGGTCGGCGCAGGTGTTGATACAGAATATTTTCCTACCTCACGTCATGACAGTCAGGGTTACAGACCTTCTTCCTAAACTGCAACTTTCCCTTCCTGCCATTGGCCTCTCTGACTCCAGTGGCCCCTGGCCTGGAAAGAGCGGCCTTTGGACCACTAGCCCGGCTGTGTACCCGTTAGCCTGTTCGTTCGGCAGATGTGAGTGACTCCCAGGTGCCAGCAGTGCCAGCTCCGCTCTCTTCCCTCCCACCACGTGCAGATTTCCTGATGCCCATATATTGTACTTGCCGGCTGGTCTTTCCCTTTGGCCCTGAGATAACCCTTCCTGGAAGATCGTGCAGTGTGTATTCACAGCTCTTTTCATGGAGCCATGGGTTTCCTTGTAAAAGCAATTCAGGGCTCTCCCGTGAACCCCGGTTGTCTTCCCAGAGCCTTGATGACGTCTGGGAGATTCGGCGGCGGTCTCCTGGGTACCCGCCGGCTTGGATGCATTTCAGTGGAATCTGTGTGGTGGGTTGAGGTGCATATTGGCTCAGAGTTGCACAGTAGGGCAGTTAAATGTTTAAGCAAGGCATCTGCCCACAGTCCCCTCTCGTCTAGTGCCTTCCTTGATCTTTTTACTGAACTGCTTGGAGTCCCTAATCCCCCTTGTTGTGAATTTTCTTGTCACCCTCGTGGGACCTGTCACCATCTCCCATTCTCTTTGGGACTTGTCCGCCAGTCCTTCAACGACCTTTGCAGCTAATTCTGTGTCCTAGAAGGGCTGGAGGTGTGATGGTTGGAGTGTTGGGGACCCAACATCAGGGTCCTGGTCTTGAACGGATGTATGTGCTCTCCCAAGAGCCAGGCAGTAAACTAGATGGAACTCAGTCATTTCGCAGAAATGCCAGCCTTTCCCTCCCGGGGTAGGAAGCTCAGGACCCTAGAACTTTGCATCAGGGTGCACACGTCAGCATGAAGGGGTCCTCGTACCACTTTAACCTCAGCCTGTGTCGCGGTCTTTCTTTACAAATGCATCAAGCCATTTGTGCACGGCGGAGGGTGCATAGGGAAAGGAGGTCACAATCTTGTGTCTTCGACTGTCCTGTTTAGGAATCCAGGCTAAAGAAAGGAGAGAATCCTCCGGATGCGGGGTATTTCACAGACCCTAGCATGGGAAGCGCATTGGGTTCTTGCATGGAGCTGGGACTTTCGGAATTTGCACCTAGTCCTTTCTCCTGCTTGTCACGCCCCGGACTAGACACCCCATTGCCCAGGTCCACACCACCTCCCGGTTCTTGGGATCACCGTGCACAGCTTCCCAGTACCTCTTAATTCCTATTCTCAAGAAAAAATACAGTCAGCCCAGCATGTTGCTCGGCTTTCTACCCTCATTGGTCAGCCTGGGTGCAGGGGGCGGGGGGGGGGGGGGGGGGCGGCAGGGGCCTGTCCCCTGGGGGGGGGGTTGGGGGGGGGGGTGGGCTCTCCTAGAAGAGGCTTCAGACAGGATAAATACCTTAGAAGTATTTTAGTAGCAAAACTGCTGTCCTGCTGCCCACTTCCCACCCCGCTTTTTTGAGAGTGGAAAGGCAGGACACAGGACCGTATCTGGACATTGAGGAAATTCTTAGGTTTCGCTTCATTTGGGTTTCTGGCATCTTTGTTGCTTTATTTCCTGTTTTAATTCCCTTTACCAGTCTTGGCATCCAAGATTTCTTACCTCCCTCTTCAGGACCAGTTTCTCCTGCCCCGGAGCTCATGTGTTCTTGGGAGACATTTCTTCACCTTCATTCAATCTCAGGTTTTTAGCCTTCTTTCGTACTTAGAGAGCAGATCACAAATCCCACGGTCACCACCCATGGACTTCTGGGCTCTCCTCAGGTTTTAGCGCTGAAAATATATTCATTTTATGGGCCTGTGGCCCGCCCGTGCCCCTCCCTGCCCGCCTCCTCACCCTTGCATTTGGTCTTTGCCATGTGAGGAGAGCTCTGCACTAATAGCTATAGGCAGGCCTTCTGAGGTACCCCAGAAGCTACTTCCCTGTAGCCAGCAAGAGTATCTGGTGGCTGGGACAGTTGCCAGGACAGAAATCAGATGTAGATGTCAGCTCGGAGGAGTTTTGACTGAGAGCTCTTTAGACCAGAAACCCTTGTCTTCCCTGTCCGCCGGCTTGCTTTGTGGTCCCGTATCAAAGCCTTTAATTTTTTGGATTTTGACACAACTGCTTCTGCTTGCCTAAGTGTTTTGATCTTACTTACCTCATCCTGGGGCCTGTCCCATGTTAGTAAGGCATTTCATAATTACTTGTAACTTTTTTAAACTGTTGGAGTCGTTTGGAATACACAGAAGTAACCTAGTAATCCAAAGATACACATTGAGGCACGTGACAAAGGGTGGGGTCATTAGCCTTTGCATTTGATACTCTGGACTCGGCTCCGGACTTAAGGACTAGAGGGACAGCAACGCCATTTGCCTCTGTCCAAGGAAATCTGGGTTGGTCTCAAAGGAGAGTACCAGTGTTTTTTCGTTCTAATAAGTAGCACCCCAATGAAGAGGTGGGGAGGTAGGGACGGAAAGAGCAAGCGCTGCATGGAGGCTCGTTCACGTTCAGATGGGAAGGTCAGCCCTTCTGAAGGGCCAGCTGTTCACTCGGATAGCAGCTGTCTGCACCTCTCCCTGCCCCTTCCCCTGGGTCGTGCTTGAGAAAAATGTGGCGGACCACTCCCTCTTTTTGTACAGGGCCAAGGCTGAAAGCCAAACTCCGCTCCTACTGATTCGGCAGCCAAACAGATCATCAGAGCTGTGATCACCTGGCTCCATGTTCCTGACTTCTTCCTGCAGGGAACGAGAGAGGCACCTCTCCTTTGCCTCACAAGTTCTCCTTCCACCCCTGCACCAGACTGGGAGACCAGGTTGGGGAGTGGGGGTATGCTCAGGACAAGCCCCATGTGACTCCTCAGGCCTGGCACTGCCTCCCTGCTCAGCCCCACCAGGGGGACGGGGCGGGGGTTTTAGGTGGGGTGGAGAGGATGGTGTGCAGGCCAGGCTGTGTGCCCTCACTCAGTGCCCTGAAGTCCGTGTGTGTCGCTCCCTCCTCCCTACCTACCTCTGACCCTGTTGTGGGTGAGGGTGGCCGTGCTCATGGCTGTCTGGAAACTGAAGAGGCAGAGACCTATTAAGGAATCTGTAGACCACATGTTTTCTCTTCCTTGGCTTCTTTCTTCTGCTGTCTGGGTAAGCCTGTAGGCACAGTGCCCGGGAAAGCGGATGCCTCCCGACCTGCCTGTCTCAGTGTCGTGGCCTTGACCTCCTGCTGAAACATGTGGTAGGGGCATGGCAGCTAAGAGGTACCGCCTACATGTGCTTTCTGGCTGTGGTGACTTGGGATTTTTAACCTTATATATCTTTTTCCTTTATTCAAAACAGAACAATTTTTAGCACACTGAAGAAAAAAAAAGCCAAACATTTTGTGCCTTTCTAAGGCAGCACTGTATCCCAGGCTGCATTTTAGGACTTAATATGGAAATACCAGAGTCTTAGCTCCTCTACCTTGAGTGTCAGTCCTTACAGTCTAGGAGGGAGGAGGAGACACTGTGTGGGGCTGGGGAAGAGGGCACACAGGTGTGGTGGGGCAGCGGTCCCTTCCCCCTTCCCTGGTGGCTCCGTTGGTAAAAGCAAGCATTACCCTGGGATCATTTGGCTCCAATCAGAATCGTAGTTAGAGGTTGAATGCTGTGTCTCCAGCAGGAGGAGAGAGACTGTCCTGGGACTCCCAGGAGTGCTGTGGACCCTGCAGGTGTGCTAGCCTCCAGGTCCTGGGAAGGACCCAGCTGCGGGGAAGAGCGGAGGATGGACTCTGCTGACAACAGGAGGTGGTTTGTGTCTTTCTGCTGGATCCCAAACTGGCCTAGACCTCCTGCCTCTCCCTTCAGACATGGCTTTTCTTTTATTTGAAGATTTCGGTCTTAAAGCATTAAGCAGCCAGTGCCCTTGGTGGGGGCCAGTTTTCCCCTAGGAAAGGCGGCAAGGCCCACATGCCAGAGCCTGGCCTCAGGATCGTGGCCACTGTAGGTTTCAGCAAAGGAAAAAGAAAAAAATGTTTTCTTCATGGTATTTTACTTCTCCCTTTCCCTTTTCAATTCTTCCCTGCCTTTAACTAATAAGGAATTGGGGAAAGAATTCTTTTTCAAGTCCTCCCTCTTTAGGATATTGACATTCTTGGCCTGGGTGGGGCTGAGGAGAACTCGATGCTTTCTCCAGAATAAAGAGTCCCAATTTGTATATCAGTGTTAAAAATAAGACAAAAACTTAGATGAGATTTTTGTGGACTATTTTAAAAAATGTGTCATTAATATAAAAAAATTTATATTAGCAGTATTTAATCATTCTCACCTGTAAAGAGTAAGAAAAACAGAAGGTAAATATTCTTACAGAGAAGAGCAGAGCTTTAAGATTCATTTTCGATTTTAAGTCCCCTTTGTTTTGCCAGTGTATTAATGTCTAGAGGTCTGTTATACTAATGTTATTTATTAATTTTTTTTCATTTCCATACACAGTTAACTAAAGAGCTTTTTCAAGCACCCATGTCTGTAAAAAAAAAAAAAATATTTTTAAATAAAGTTTCTTTTGTTGTAGCAGACTGGAGTTCTTGCTCTTCCACGGGGGTGGGAGAGCGACAGACTCGGCCAGCCCCATCCTCACGGTGAGTCCACTGCTACCCCAAGGTGGGTCTGCGCAACGTGACAGAGTGAAGGGCCAACTTGGCCTGGCGCTGCTGAGAAGGGCTGTGGTCCTCTGGGAGCTCGAGCCATTTGCTCAGAAGCAGAGGTAACCCCTCATCTCCACTCCCAGATGCAAAGGTTTCGTGTTCCTTCTGGTGTGATGCCAGATCCCAGGGCCCCAGGCTGCAGTGGCAACATGATGAATCAAAAGCACTGTGAGGTTTCTGGGACAATTAAGCTTTATTTTTCATATATATATATATACACACACACATATATATAAAGGAAATTTGCAAATTTACAGACAACCTAACAAAACCACATATACATACACTCACACACGCACACAGATACCCATACGCACCCCAGAGCTCCAGCCAAGCCCGCCTCTTGTCCCTAAGTACCATTCTCCCGTGAGGGCCCTTCTTGCCAGGACCTAAGCCCCTTAGCTCAGTTTGTAGAAGTTTGGTGCTAGTGTAATTATAGTCCTAATCCTCCTAAAGGACAGTCTGAACCTCATCTGCCTCCTAACCTTTCAGTCTGATATGACCCGCTGACTAGGCAGTAGGAGCCAAACTTGGGGGTGGGGGCTGTTGGGCTCAATGGCCTCACTCTGGAGAAGTGCCCGGCTTCCTCCCTGCAGGGACGAGATACACCCGCACCTCTTAGGCAATGACACCATTCCCGGCTTCTGCCCCGAGAAAGGTGGGTCACAGAAGGACCTGAAGCACGTAGGCAGCTGCTTGTCATGAAGGCTGGGGAACTCTCTAGAACCGGCTTGAGAGGGGCTTGTGCTCCGTGAGTCCTCACTTCGGTGACACAACTGACCAACGAAGCCAGCCTTTGGGGCAGGAACCAGACAAACAGGCTGCCTCATCCGGCTGCGGCAGAAGACAGGTATGTGCGTCCACGAGCTACATACAGAGAGAACGTGGTCTGCGAGACACTCTCTCCCGCCCCCAGGATGCCGAGGCCCCTCCCTGGGATGAGCATCACCCAACAGAGTGAGCCGGTGGTAGGTTGGTCCCCGACGAGGGCCCTCTGCGATGGGGCCTGCAGGCCAGCTGGGGCAGGGGGCCTTCTCCACAGCCCGCTGTAGAGGCCTGGGTGGTCATCCTGAGCGCTGGGAGGGAGAGGGTGAGCAGAGAGCACAAAACGTTCCAGGCGGGAGGGGCGCTCAGTGGGGTGAGTGGGCTAGTGCCTCAGATCGATGTATTTCTCTCCCTAGAAGCAGATGAAGAGAACAGATAAGGGGGGATGCGGCGGGGACAGGGACGGGAGCCTGAGGTGGTGAGCGCTGGAGGGACGAGAGACTGAAGCCAAAGCTGATGGACTAGGCGTGGAGGGAAGCAGCGGGAGGGGGTGGTGGGGCGGGGTGGGAGAGCCTAGGCCCCCGAACCGGACTGGCCACACTGCACCTGGTGACCTGAGCCACGGCACTGTTCAGGAAAGGTGGTGACGGAAAGTGTTTGCTCTCAGGCCTGGGAGCTACCCCTTCTCCGGGGTCCCTGGGCCACTCGCCTCACCCTACCATCTGGGACTAGTGTTAGGAAGCCAAGACGGGCCTGCTCCCAGTCTCCAACAGAGGAGGAGGAAGGGGGGAGACAGTTAGTGTTCGGGGACACGAGAGCCATCAGCCCCGGCTGCTCCCGATCCCTGAAGCTGGGTCAGGCGCTGGCCATGGGCACTGCCTCCTACCTGGTCTCCGGGCGCCCTCTGGTCACGGCTGCTGCCCTGTAGGAGGCCCATCTCTTCTGGGAGCTTATCTGACTTAACTTCAACTACAAATTCGCTCTTACGAGACGGGGGCAGCGTGCTGGGAGGGAGGGAGGCAAGAAGTTGGCATCTCGGGCAAGGAAAGGGAGGCTCATTGAGAAAGACGTTGGACTGGGCGATGAGGTGCTCTGGGGCCGGCTCAGGGAAGGGGAACAGGCGAAGAATGGAGAGGAAGTGTGGGTGATGGCAGCTGGCCGGTGGGCAGGAAAGCGGGGAGCACTCACACCCAGTGTCCCCCTCCTGCTCCGAAGGGGTGAGGGGGCAGGGGGGCAGGCAGGGAATGTCCCTGCCCAGGTGACAAGCTGGGAAGCGCGCGATTGGGTGGGGGCGCAGCGCTGGGTACCCGCCTTACATCTCCTGCTTGCCTGACCGCCCACAAGGCAGCTTGCCCTTCTTGTAGAAGAAATAGAGGACAGCACCCAGCACAGCCAGGACCAGGACGCACACGGTCACAGCCACGATGGCCACGCCCTTGCTTTCAGGCTCTGGCAGCTTCTTCTCTGTCCCACAAAGATGCTCCGGGTCACTCCCAGCCCCACGCAGCCCGGACGCCACCATGCCCCACCCCACCTCACCCCTCCACCCCACCCGGCCACAGCCCAGGACTGATGGAAGATGGGCCCCTGCTCACCTTTGTGAACAGGGCTCCCCCGGGAAGGGTCAGGGCAGGAGGCGGCTGCCCAGCCACAGCTCTACTCTCGCGCCAGGACTGCTTACCTGTGGAGGTGCCGTTGGCTCGGACAGAGGGGCTGACAGTGGATGTGCTGAGGCCAGTGCTTCTGCTAGAGTCTGGTGAGTGGTGAAAGGGGTTGACACGGGGGTTAGGAAAAGCACACGCTCGTGCCCACACCTGCCATGCCGCAGGACGAGGCCCTTACCCAGCTCCAAGAAAATGGTGGTGGTGTTTCTGCCCAGGGCGTTGGAGGCCACGCACTCAGCACCTGTCCTCAACAGCTCTGGGGTCACAAGGACGCTCAGGACACTCAGGACGCTCTGTGGCTCTTGGTCTTGTTCCTGTGCCTACAGGATGGGGACACCGCTCAGGGAGGGGGGCGCGGGGAGGGTGCCCGTGGCCCGCAGCGGAGCCTCGGCAGGGGCGGTGGGCCTGCTCACCGTGCCCTCGACGCTCCAGGAGATGGTGGGCCGGGGATGTCCCGAGGCTTCGCAAGACAGATTCAACACTGCATTCTCCTGCACCCATATCCTCCTCTCCTTCTGTGTCATCCATGGGGACCCTTAGGGAGACAGCGGTACGGGTGTGGCAGCAAACTCTGCCAGCCTGCCTCCCTGTCCCCACCGGAGCATGCCAGGGCAGTAAGAGGAGGGTTTCCGTCCTCCAAGGAGCTTGAAACCACCCAGCCCCAGGGAGCTCCACGGGGTGGCCTGATCTCTGCCCCGAGGGCTTCTCACCAAAAACGGCCACGTGGACCAGCTGCGTGCGGTTCAGGCCGGGGACTCTGGGCACGGATGCTATGCAGCGGTAGCCTCCCCCTGCCTCGCGTTTCAGGTTGTCTAACTGGAGCAGAGGCCCCTCCGTCAGCACCTGGCCTGTCTGGGGGCACAGATGGGTCAGGGCCTTGCTCCCAGCCCCACGCGGCCCGCAGCCCCAGATCCGCCAGGTACCTTTTCTCTCAGCCACTGGAACTGCACGGCTTGGTTGCTCTCCGCCTCACAGCTGAGGACGAGGCTGCCGCCCTCCTGGCTCTCCGGGGCTGCAGGGCTCACCCGCACAGCAGACACGTCTGGGGACAGAGCAGTGCTCTCAGCCTGGGTGGGGTGGGCCAAATTCCCTCTTGCCCCACCCTGATCCCCCCATCCCAGGCGCCCGGCCCCTCACAGTTCACCAGCAGCTCCTGTTGGTCACTCAGCAGTGATGCCATGGTTTCCAAGTCCAGGCCCTGACACTGATAGAGGCCACTGTGCTCCTTCTGGGCAGACTCCAAGACCAGGACCCCGTTGTCTTCGGGCGTCATCTCCTCCACCTCCTTGGTGCTGAGGTTCTGGGGAAGAGCAGAGAGGTGAGCTGAGTGCGCCTCCAGCCACTCCCGTGGCCCCCACGTCCCTAGCGCGGCGCCCTCCGCACCTGCTTGCTGATGGTGAAGTGTGGCGGGGGGTTGCCGTCCGCCAGACACCTGATTTCCACGTGGTCCCCTTCCTTCAGCGCTCCCACCGGCTCCACCTCCAGCCACACCTTCTCCGCTGGGTCTGAAGAAGCATAGGGGGCAGCCCTCAGCCTCAGAGCCGTCCCTACACTGGGGAGCTGGCTGGGTCTGCCACCAGCCTCAGCCCAGGGCCGCGCTGGGACTCACAGAAAACCTGGACGCTGACTTCCCGAGACTCCTTCATGTGGTTGCCGCTGGGCAGCCGGTAGCTGAGCTCACAGTAAAACAGGGCGTCCTTGTCTGCGGTCACCAGCTGGGCCTTCAGAATGCTCACCAAGGTGTACAGACCGCTCGACTCCACGATCTGGGACGACTGAATATAAACCCCTGGCGGGGCGGAGAAGGGGGAGAAGAGCTCAGCCTTGGCCCTGCCTCCAGCCCGGGGTCCCCTGGGATTCTCTGGGGGGGGTGCACCTGGAGAGGGACCCCTGCCAGCCCCTGCGACCCTTCAGCTCAGCGGTTCTGTGTATCTCAGCATCTAGCTATGCCACCGACACCCGCTCACAGACAGGGACGGGGTGCCACACTCCAGATGTCCACCAGCAGGGGACCCCCCTCCACCATCCCCATGGTAGGCGATCGGGGGCGGGTGGCACAGAACCATCAGGTCCAGCCACACAGGCTGTGCTGGAAAGACTTCCAGGACTGACCGTCCAAAGAAAAATTACCATGTGGCGACATATGCCACACTGAGCCACTGAGGTCAGGGCCGCTCAACCTCAGTGCGACCTTAGGTGGGGGTAGGGGGATGCCCCGAGTACTCTGGGGTGTTTAGCAGCAGCTCCCTTCGGCCTCTGCCCACTAGGTGCCTGTAGCCCCTCTCCATTCACGACAACCAAAAATATCCCCAGACGTAGCTGATCGTCCCCAAGGGGGAGCAGCTGTGTCCCTGGTCAAGAACCACTGCTTCAGCTGATAAAACAATAAAGCCTTCGTGTGCCCAAGATGTGTTTCTGTGTGTAAGTACCCCGAAAC